ATTGCGACAGCGAAAGCAGTGACGAAAACCAAAGCCTGTTCATGGGAGGAGTTCAGTGAGATGTTGGAGTCGAATTTCCACACGGTAAACAAAGTGTGCTGGCAGACCATCCTCGCCTCCCAGATAGAAAGAAGGATAGTGTGAGAGTCTTGAAGCACAAGCCAGGACACCTTTTCGCTGAGGATGAACACACTGTTCAGCGATGGAGAAAATACTTTGAGGCAGTCCTTAATCCTGAGTAACCGCAGGAAGACCCCCTCGTGAACAGCAGCAGGGAACGAATAATTGTCTTTCTGTAGAAGAAACCACACAAGCTACGAAAAGCTTGAAAGTGGAATTGCTGCTGAATTCGATGAAATCCGGCGTGTGGTGGATGACACGTGTTTGTCACGCTGCCATGACAGGAAATCACAGACCCTTGCCATGACTGCAGAACGGATGTTGTACTATACTACCCGCATTTACGAAGGTAGGCCATGGGGAGTGCCCCAATTGCGGCGGCATTAAATGATTCGGCTTTCCAAGTAAAATCAACGCAAAGGTGCTAGAAAGGAAATCTGACTCTAAAGCAGAAGATATTCGGTGTGGTTTCAATTCTAGTCGAAGTACTTCTGATCTGAAATTAATTCACTTACGCCAGATTGTTGAGAAATCGTGAAGTTTGCTGGTCCGGCTTAAATGTGATTTTTTGACCTAGATTATGCCTCATTCACTGTATGCTGATAGCAGGTGCTGCGTCAGAGTAAATGGCATTACGCCGAGTCTTTTCAGAGATCTTTCAGGACTCTGCCAAGGTTGCCTTCTATCCTCTCCCCCGTTTTTATTGCATATAGAGGCGCAGCCATGGCGATGGGTGCATTAGCGTATGAGCTGTCGATATGAAAAGTTGCATGTCAATCTTTTTTTTATTCACATCTTCTGGAACTGATTCCTAACGTTATGTGGAAAGGTTCGCAACCGATAGCGACGCGGTTGACATGTGTGAACGCATCTAAAACGAAAAGTCTTTGTTGTTGCTTTCTTCAGATTAACGGAGAGGCAGTGGAGCAAGTGGAGTAGTTCAAGTACCTTGGAACTGTATTTACTAGTGATGGAAAATTTGAGGAAGAGATCGACCGGCGAATTGGAGTAGCCAATTGCGTTTTGCGTCAATTAGCCCGACTCGTTGTGAC